GATATAGATTCTTATATGGTTATATAATTTACCATTGATTTACCATGTTGATATAACACTTATATATCTGTGATATATACTTGATATGTCTTTAATTTACCACTAATATAACTGTGATATCTATTAATATAGCTTCTCATATGATTATATGATTTACCACTAATATAACTTTGATGCATCTATGATATATACTTAATATGTCTCTAATTTACCATTGATATAACTATGATATTTACTGATATCTAACATTGATGCATCTGTGATCTACTGATATCTACTGATGTGTATCAGATATTAGTTACAAATATATTTAATATTGCCACTGATATACATCAAATGTACATTAGAGATACATCAGATATATATCATATAAGATATACATAGTTATATCATTACAAATATATTGAGTATATCATAAATTAGAGATACATCATATGTATATTAGATGTATAATATGTACATCTGATGTATATCAGAGATTTATCGGATGTACATCAAACGTAGCTCGGAAGTATACCAGAGATACATCGGACGTATATCAGATATACATCTATCGGACGTATATCAGATATACATCCATCTAGCGTATATCATATATACATTAGGTGTATATCAGATATCATAAGGGTAAAATTGGAATAATAAAAATTCCGAGAATAAAAATTCAAATATTTTGTCATATTTGCAAAATACAAAAGTGGTTGACATTTTTGTAAATAGGTATAAAAGTTTAGCTACCCAATACAGTTTCCCTTTAATTTATGATTGATTTTACTGTTTTATTACTATGAATAATGAAGGTTTGAGATATTTACATTGACTTTTAAAGATTAGCTCGATAAATATCCTATTAAATAATTTGAGCATGTTTTTAATTAATTTTAACATGATTCAAGTAGTAAAAAGTTAGTGTATAACTTAGCAGATAAGAGAATAATTATTTAATTAAAAGTTAATAAAAAATTTAAATAACAATGAAAAAGAAATAAAATGACAAACGGTTTGAAGGGAAAGAAACACTCGAATGAAAATGGAGAGGAGAGAAATAAGTGAAATGTATTCATGTTTACCTCAAGAAATGTGATCAAAATGTTTATTCTCCATGGTGTTTAGTATACGGTCGAAATTACTTATTTAGGGTGTGTTTGTCAGTATTCTAGTATTAGTGATTAAAAAAAAGGTTAGTATGATTGATTTTACAAAATCACCATCAAATATTAAAAATCAATTTTAAGTGATTTTAAGTTTTTCTAAAATGAAATTTCCTAATTTGCCAAACATGATGGGGGAGTGATTTTGGGTCACTCCCAAACACACACGAAATGGTAGAAATGGAMTCAATTGTGGAACCAGTTCAAACTTTGTAATCACTCCGGCTAAAAAATGGTGTAATCTCATTTTTCTCTTACAGTCTCATAAATATCATTCTCATCTTTTCTATGGGTCTCACACCTTTATAATCGTTACTTTACAACTTTTATCATTTATCTCTCATCTAGTAATGAGACTCATTACTTTTGAATTAATTGTTTTAYATTTTTATTTATATTATTAATAAATTTTCTTCTAATAAAAACTATATTCTTATAAAAAAAATTATACCATTTTTATTAGTTGATGTGGATTTATTATAAAATATTACAAATTTCTATTAAAAWTTTTTAATTACTTAATTTTATTTTGTTAATTAATATCAATACATAATTTCAAATACAATTCATTATTATTGAATATATAACAATAAAGTTTAATAATATTTAGGGACAGTTGTAAATATGACAAGAACATTTAGTAAAATTAGCAAAATAGTAATTAAATTTAGTTTTTTCAAATATAGCACTTAAAAAAAACRAAGGTCAAATTTTAAAATGACAACTTTACCCAAATGAAAATATATCTGTAATATATATGTAATATATCTAAATTATTGATATATGTATGTGATATATATCTGATATACTTACAATATGTATGTGATATATATACGATATACTACTAATATGAGTGTTTGTGCAATATATATGTGATATTCATCTAATATACTACTAATATGAGTATCTGATATACTACTGATSATATAAGTGAAATTTTTTGCTATATTTGAAAATCTAAAAAATAGGTGACATATTTTGAAATACATAAAAAAATTTTGCTACCCACTACAATTTCCCTAATATTTATATTAAATGATGGTTGTTCTCATAAAAAATTATTTTGGTTGATGTATTTTTATTTTAATTATTTATTATTTTTTAATATTATATAATTGCTATAATAAAAAAAACATTTACTATCAATAAAATAGTAATAAAATAAATTAAAATATATTATTGTTTTAATTAAAAATTGAGTACAATAATATATTTGTAATTATTTAGAAATAAGAAACGGGTACACTATCACTAATGTGTGAGATTAAGTTAGAAAATGAACAATAAACGTGCCTTGAAAATGATTATCTAACTTTCTAGAAAAGCCAATCCAAGCATAGCTAATTGGACAAGACACATGTTACTAAATCGATCTACCATTGTTGAACTGAAAAAAAAAAAAAGAAAATAATTACCTAATGGTTAGCGGTATTTGCCACGTTTGTCCTTCATTTTTTAGAAGTCATCTTTACCATTGCTCCATTTACAACTCAGCGAACCCTTTAAAACAATAAAAGTACAATTAAAACTAACCTCAAAATTAATAATGTGACATCATACATAATTTACTTGGACAACTCAATATGTCATAATATATGATAACTCTTACCAATCAAAATATATATATATATATCTCTCGTAACTTTCACTACGTGTTATATCAACTTTTCTAGGTTTTTAAAGAGGATATAAAACTTTAATCCTAAACCAAAAGATAAAAAAACAGTTACTTTTAAACTTTAATAATTATTATGAACAAACACAAATATAAACAAATATCAATATATATTAACCAAATGAAGAATTTATTAAAATTGGAAGCTACATTGACTAACTGCATGATGTTGTTTGGTTTACACAWGCATATGGTTTGAGTGGGAATGTACATTATTATTGCTGAATCTCAAAGAAAAAAGTGAGAGAGAGCAAAAATAGCCTCTCCAACTTTGAATAATTGGAGTTAGTAATTGGAGAAGAATCAAAACTTTTGAATGATTTGCTATYGAAGGAAATTTCCTCTCCATCGTCCTATACAAAATATTTTTTCTGGTGATTCTCTTGGTCTTCAATAATCTCTTTTGTGTGTTGTTGTACAACTAAGATTAAGGCATTGCCCATGAAATCTGAAGAGGCCAATACCTCCCCAATTGCCCCGAGTTCCGTAACTTCATTCCAAAGCACCAACCCTTGAACTAGCTGCGAACTTGGGCAATGGCGTCTTCCTACCATTACAAGGTCGAAATTGTTCCCCATCGAACGGAGTATGGAGACCGTTCCAATGCTGTCCATCACCACCTCTTCTATGTACATTGCTTTGTAGTTGTTGTGTACTATAACTTGTCGGAACTTGCTCACCGCCTCATCATCAAGCCTCCTCTCTTCTACGTTATCACTCGATACATTCCCATTCTCCAATATTCGGATTATTGTCAAGTTGATACTGGGGTGCCCAGCCATTCTTGCCCCGATGAACATTGCTTCACGATCGTCTGGTCCACCTATGAAAACCACGGCTATGTGAAAAGAATGCAAGTTTGTTGAGATAGAGCTTGAGACTTTCAAGAGTCCAYGATCAACAATAAGGGCTATAGAGCAAGGTGCCTTGTCAATGATGTGATTGTTAACTGTCCTCATCTTACTTTTACACAATGACAACACGCYGTCGGAATGAAGTCTCTTGTGGAAAGGAATAAGAATCAAAGAAGTCCCTTTGTCAAGTGCAAGCGTACAAACATCGTGGTGAATAGTCGCAATATGTGATATAACAGTGAAGGGATAAACTGAAACCACGTCACGATTGCTTTGTCCAAAGTATTTGAAGGCATTAACGATATGCTCAGAATGGCAGGACCCTGAAGTACCTACCTTCGTAAGTTTGTGGGCAATGAATTGTGGGTTAGCTCGGCCAAGAAGCTCAACAAGATGAAGCATGTGGATAATAAGATGGCTTCGTCTCGTTGGATTCAAGGCGTCAAGAAGTTTAATTGCATTTGGAACATCATCTTGGTCATGAATGCAAACTAACACATGGAGATCACCATCCGGTCTCAAGTGCATCATTGTTCTCCTGCTGTAAACTACATACTTTCTTGAAGGATCATCGAGATATCTCATTATGGGAGTGATAACTGCAATCGAAATCACCATGCATATGCACATAACTGAAAATGTTTCATTATCTAACAACTGCACAGATTATGAAACGAAATATCATCAATGAGTACTGTGAGAAATGATCAAATGAAATTAGATAATAATGATGATCAAAATCAAATACTTGTTTTCCTACCTTATCCTTATTCCTCGCATCCAACAAACGAAGCTCCAAAGCTCCTTGACTATTCAAGATGAGGCCGAGCGATACGGCATCTCTCACAGGCAGTTTGAAGTAGATTGAAATCATAAAGGCACCCAAAAACTTCCCCAACGTAGTAACAAAAATAACGAATGACAAGACTAACAAATTTTTTAGTTTGATGATAAAGATATTGATAACCCAGCCTATTTTGACAAAGAAGATTGGCATGAAAATCCAAGAGGTGATGCAATGAAGTCTCTCTACCAATGTTGATCCAACGGGAGGCCCTGGAGGTATTGCAATCCCAAGTACAAGGGGACCAAAATGTAAGTACAAACCTGTTGCCTGGCAACAGAAGCCAGTCACCAACACCCCTAAAAGCAAGGTAATCAGATAGGCCTCTTTTAATGGCTGTCCAACTGGATTGTGCTTCATCATCCACTTAATGACTTGTCGAAATGCATAAACTATGAAGGCTATGACAATCACATAAGCAAAAGTCATTGATAAGATGTCATATCTGACAGCATTTGTTGCAGTCAATAGATGTCCTAGTACCATAACGCAATAGCTGCACAAAGCAGAAGCCATGGAAGATGCCAAAGCAATTGTCCCAAACTCAGAGTTCATTCTATGAAGCCCAGAGAGAAAGAAAGCAATGGTGGGAAAGCTAATAAAGGTCTCTGCTGCAACAACCATGGGAAAGGATTTGGCGATTTGTGGATCCACACTATTCATGAAGTTTACAATGCAAATGTTAGCAAGAACCATAGGTAAAGCCACGGTACACAATCCAACAGCAAATGCTCTCTTGTCAATCTTCTTTACTATGGAAGGATCTATTTGCACACCAATGAGGAAGAAGTAAAATATATATCCAAATGAAGATACTATATCAAGTAATATGAATCCCCTCTCGGGGAAAAAGGTTTCTTTGAATTCCTTGAACTGACCCAGAATTGAAGAACCTAGAAACAAACCGCCCTGATAAAACCACAATCAATAAGAAAGATAACAAAGAAGGGGATCGATGCAAGCAACTAAGGGCCTATTTGTTAATGTCATCGTTTCCAAGTTTCTCAAATTTGAAAAATGAGAAACGAGATTAGTTACCAAACATATTTATTTCTTGAAGAAAATGAGAAACGAGAAACGGAAAAATTAACAAACGGGTACTAAGAGTAAGAGAGAGAGTTACCAAGATTTGGGAGACGATGAGGGGTTGGCCGAGGGGCTTGAGGAGCTGAGAAAACAACATAATGACCCCTGTACATATAACCAACTGCATTAGAAGAAGAGGGACAGAGTACTCCAAAGGGTTTGATCCGAGGAAAACCCCATGAGAGCGAATTCGATTGGCAGGTATGCAGATCATGGTGGTCATGTTCTTGAACGACTGCCCAATTCCCCCACCGACATATGCGTCAATTTCATCTGCTTCCATTGCAACAAAACTCAGTTTTCCAAGCTGGGTATTGAGTGAATAGACCCTTCAAAGAGACAAAAAATCAAAGGAGGAGATGGAAATGGGAATGGAAGAAAAATGTGTGAGGGAACCCACATTCAAAACCCCAGACAGAGAAGAACTCAAAAGGGGCAATGGGAATGGAAGAAGAAATGTAATGGAAGCCATTTTTAGGGGTTGCAAGTCAAAAGTTAAGCTTCAAAGGAAGAAGAAATCAGAAGGGGATTGGAACAGAAATGGGGATTGTTTTAACTGTTTGTTTAATACTAATTGAGTCATTATGCTCAACTTGGAAGATGAACGAAACTCCATCTTAACAAAATCAATTAAAATTTGGAAGAAACTGAAGTTGTATTGTGACCTGGCCTACAACCAAAAACCCCCACTACATGGCTTTTCCAACCTTTTCTTTTTCCTATTTATATCTTTATCCTACGCAAATTCAACCGCTGTAATACTACTTTCTAAGTTTCGTTGACATTATTTAAAAGTGACGTAAGTTCTACCAATATTAAAATAATTAAATAAAGGGAGGAGTAAAAAATCATGGTGCTATCATGACATGTAAGAGTGTTCATGGATTGAGTCGAACTACTTTTTGAATCCAACTCAAATTGTTCGAAGTTTAAATTTATTAAACACTCGTTAAATAATAAAAGCCCAACCAATAATACATAGATTGAAAGTTTAGAATATTATTTTGACTTAATTACTTTTATTTTCTAATATTTTGAATGAAAGAAATTGATATAATTAAAATTACATTTAGTTGTATTTAAAATTATTGAACAGTTTTAAAATATTTTTTTTTATTATTTCGTTACAATCTATTTTAATTCTTCAATTTTAGTTGATGTATTGAGAATAGATGGTGTTTTTCTGTAAATAAATAAAATAAACGGTGGAATGTTACTTACCAAAGAATAATATTTTTAAAAAATCCTTGACAAAATATTACTGATGTGAAACTAATACAAATAATAATATTTTTAACATACGAAATAAAAAGGGCTACAATAAAAATGTGTTCATTCCATACGAAATAAAAAGGTCGCGGCGGATTTGTTCATTCCATACGAAATAAAAAGGTCGAGGCAGTCGGATGGGTTGCTTTGAAGTTGGACATGAGTAAGACATATGATAGAGTTGAATGGTGAGCGTAGGGGTCATTTCATTACGTGGCCTCAGGCAAGGTGATCCCCTTTCTCCCTACCTTTTTCTGATTTGTGCGGAGGGTTTGTCCTGTCTGTTGCAGGGGCGGTTAGATTCACTTTATCTCGGGGTGGTCCATATATTTCCCACCTGTTTTTTGCCGATGACAGTCTTCTTTTCTTCAGRGTGTCGATGGTGGAGGCGGATAGAGTTAATGGTGTTCTGGAGATCTATGAGCGAGCCTCAGGTCAAACTATTAATTTTGACAAATCTGTCATCCCTTTTAGCCCTAATACCCCGCACCATACTAYGGTTGCTATTGAATCCTCCATCCGTGTGCGGAGGGTTGCTTGCCATTAGCGATATTTGGAGTTGTCGGCCTTCATGCCTCGGAACAAGAGGGAGGCCCTTGGAAGGGGCATCTGTTCTCGATTGGTGGTAAGGAAGTGTTGCTTAAGGCAACTATTCAAGTTATCCCCTGCTATTCCATGCACTGTTTTAAGCTCCCTTCTGGTCTCCTGCATGATATTAGTATGTCGATGACTCGTTTCTGGTGGGGTGAATTTAATGAGGACAAGCATATTCATTGGGTCAGCTGGGAGGTTATGTGTCGGCCTAAATGCTTGGGCGAAATGAGTTTTCGGGATCTTATTTCTTTCAATAAAGCTCTTCTAACTAAGTATTATTACATGAATAATCAAACTACATAAAAAAAAAGTACAAAAAACAAAAAAAATAAAAAGTACAAAAAACAAAAAAAAATTATTGATGATAGGAATCAGTAGATGCACCCGATAATCCCAACTATGTTGGCACAATCTTAGCACCCTCATCATCTAGCTCATCCCAATAAATCAATGACATTGAATAGTAATAAGAGTTTGTACATCGTTCAAGTTAAATATAAAAATGAAATAAACTATAACTAATTCTTCAAATATAAACCATACAAGTGCATGGTATCGAGGAATCCATCACAGGAAGGTATGGAAAATCCACAAAGGCCCTCCAAATCTTTGAACGATTTATGGCTATCTTCCACCTCCACAGTCCGTTCGATTTCCTCCAAAGCTTCTCGAGCTGCATGTCTTATTTCTTCAATCGCAGCTGGTTTCACAACTTGTTTTTCAATTGTATTTAGTTCCATAGCACATGGTTCACTATTGTCATTCTTCAAATATAAACCATAGAAGTGCATGGTGTCGAGGAATCCATCACAAGAAGGTATGGGAAATCCACAAAGGCGCTCTAAATCTTGGAGGGATTTATGGCTATCTTCCACCTCCACAGCTCGTTCCACCTCCTCCAAAGCTTCTCGCGCTGCTCGCCTCAGTTTTTCAATTGTAGATGGCTTAACAACTAATTTTTCAATCACATCCGGCTTCACAGCACATGGCACATCATTGATGNGATGCAAAGCTGCCGCTGTGCTTTCAAGATCGTATCGGCGAACCTTGCTTTCAACATTGTTACTCGAGCAGCTGTGGTTGGTGAGGGTGGAGTACTAATGTGMCGTGGTGTTGTGATTGAGGTTGGTGTTGAAGTTGTGGCTTCAGTTGGTGTTTGTGGTATCTTTGCAACCAAATCTCCACATTTCTATTTAAAAAAAAATCACATTCTCACGGTTTCGATTTATGTACAGAATTGGATATAAAAATAAAAATAAAAATAATAAAAAATTGAACTCACCACTGTATTTGCTGCCAAATCAGCATAAGAAACTAGTTGCGGTTTCACTAGCCCAGAACTCACCTAAACATGTACAAAATTGAATATATAAATAAAAGAAATAAAATCTTTTCTAACCTATAAAAGAAAAGGCACCTTGGACTATTCATCTTATTGTCCAATTATTATTATTTTATAAACTTATCTCGAGTATTTATGCAATTTTGAAGATATATATCAATTACCACTAATTATGTTCGGTTTGACATGTCATTTGTACTTTATATTAATTGTATACATTAATATCGTCAATCAATTAATCAATTAAAAGAAATAATATTTTATATACGTGTTTTTCAAATTAACAGTACTTTTTTCCTTGCCTTTTAAGATTGGAAGCCTAATAAAGACATTAAAAGAAATTATAGCAAATTTTCGTTTTTTTTTTAATAGAAATTCCAGCCAAACTGGCCCAATACAAAACAAACATTTCAAATATTTTGTAATTAAAAAAAGAAAAAGTAAACTCATTCAAGGAGATTTAGGGTTTTGACCAAACGGAATAATTTCCCTCGCATGTAAAAAGTTTTGATTTATCATCATTTTTCTAATACACTTTTGTATTTTTTTTGTCTAATAAAGTGTGTCGAATTTAGGAACCTTGAATAAAAATGTCCCTTTGCCTAAATATGGTTGAGATTTTAAATATGAGATCATACCCAAAAAAAAAAAAAATTAAATTAAATTACCGATATAGTCTTTGCTACCAAATCTTCGCAAAAAGATTCTCGAGGTTTTGCCTTCATCTAAACATGTACAAAATTAAATATATTAATAAATGGAATAATATTTCAAGAATGACCATATTTCTTATCTTTTCAACCTAAAATAATCTTGATCAAAATAAAGAACTCACCATAGCCCTTTTTGTCTTTGACTTTACATTGCCTAGTTTCTCCGACGCGAAAATACGATTATAAGATTTCATGGAGATCCCTTTCTGGATCAACTTCTTCTTTGGTGGTTTAGCAGTCAATCTTTCGCATAGAAGAAGGCCTCTTAAATACGAAACATCTTTCTCAACACCCTTCATCTTTTTTCACACTTTGAAACGCTCTCAATTTCTCTCTACACTCCAGAAATTTTGGTATGATAAAAAGGAACACTGTCCTTTTATAATATGTAATATTTATTATTTAACTATAATTCCTGTCAGTTTGAAATTTAAATGGTAAATTTGAAATTTAAAATTTGATTTTGTTTATAAGATTAATTTTATAATATGTAATGCATAAGTATTTCACTGTAATTCCTGTCCATTTGAAATTTAAATTATCAATATGAAATATGAAATTTGATTTCCAATTTTCCACGCTAGCCCTACTTTATATAYATGAGATTAAATTGGAAGGTTAAAAAGATAAAATAAAAAAAAAGATTTTAATGGTTTAAAAAAAGTACTCACCAAAACAGCCGTTGGGAACTATTTTCGCTCTAAAATTTCAATTAAAATGTTAATTCTTTATGAGAATCTCAAATTTCAAATTCCCACCGAAAATTTTCATTTTAAAGGAAAAATTATTAATTTTATTAAAAAATTTATCATAATTCATGAAACAACAAATTCTAAAATTTAAATTTCACTTTCAAATTATCAATATAAATAAATACTAAAACATACCCATCATAACAACGTCTCGTAAATTTTACAAACAAATATTTAGATTTAGGAGTTTTAAAATACATCTAATAAAAACAATATAGTACTGGAATATATTCTCCGTCTCTATTGAGTCAAAGTGAAAAAACTTTGTTTTTGGTGGAGAATTCTGCGAGAGCCGTTTTCATTACTGGCCTTAGCCCTTAAGGGACGGTATTTTAACAACAGGAACTTGGATCCAACCCATCTTATATTTGGCGAAGTTTGTTATGGGGTCGTTCCCTTCTTCATACTGGTCTTCGTTGGCGAATTGGGGATGGTTTGAATATTCCCATTTATGGCTCTAACTGGCTTCCGAGAGATGGCTGTCTTCAGGTACAATCTCCTCCTCGTCTTCCTTTATCTAGCACGGTTTCTGTTCTTATGATGGGTTCGGGTGCCTAGAATGAGGGGATTGTTCGGAGTGCATTTGATAAAGATGAGGCCAATTTGATTTTACGTATCCRAGTTGGTGTTGATAGGAAGAATGATATGAGAATCTGGCACTATGATTCCAAGGGCTTGTTCTCGGTTAGAAGCGGATATCGAGTTGATCAGTCTCAAATTCTTAATCGGCTTCCTTCTCCATCCGAATCAAATTGTCGGCGATTATGGTGGTCGGGTATGTGGAAAATGAACATTCCGATTAAAATTAAAATTTTCTTGTGGCGTGCCTGTCTTGATCGTCTCCCAACAGGTGTTAATTTGGTGGATCGTGGTGTTGTTGGGTCCAATCGATGCTGTTTGTGTGGGCGGACTGGTGAAGATCTCCTTCACTCTTTCTGGCGCTGTAAAATTGCTGCTCGGGTATGGAAGGCTTCACGGTTCCGTTTCCTTTTCCCGCCAGCATCTGGATTATTTGTTATGAATACTTTGTGAGGGTGCAAGGAGCATTTGGATTAGGAGGATATGGGGGAGTTGTCCACGGTTTTGTGGGCCATTTGGAATTTGAGGATTGATTGGATTCATAACAAGGTGAGGCGGCGATCTCCGGAGGACATGGGAAGCTAGGCGGCTACTTATTTGCAAGATTTTCGAAGAACTAATGCTCGGGCCCTATCAAACGAATCTGCTAATAGCCTTTTGTCTGATCGTTGGAATCCTCCTCCTGAGGGTTGTTACAAAATTAATTATGATGCTGCTTTTGATTTGGCGTCGTCATCGGTTGGTTTGGGTGTGGTTGTTAGGGATTGCCACGATCAGATGATGCTTTCGGCTGCGACTAGAATTGAGTTTATGGCAAGTGTTGATTTGGCTAAAGCTTCGGCGGCGAAGTGGGGTGTTGAGCTTGTGAGGGATATGGGTCTCAGACCTTGCGTGTTAGAATTGGATTCCTATCGAGTTTTTCAGCTGTTTCAATCGGAGGAGGAAGTTCTGTCAGATGTCGGGTGGTTTGCTGAGAGGTTGAAGGTGGCGGCAACTAGTATCTGTTCTTCTTCCTTTAGTTTTGTGAAGAGAGCTGGAAATAAAGTGGTTCGTATTCTTGCTAGATTGGGTTTGTCTAAGGGGGTATTTCAATTTGGTTAGAAGAAGGTCCCGATGATATCCTTCCTATACTGCTCCAAGAATAGGGTTTGTCTAAGGGGGTATTTCAATTTGGTTAGAAGAAGGTCCCGATGATATCCTTCCTATACTGCTCCAAGAGAGCTCTTGTGTTCCTCTTTAATCTGATTATTATAAAAATAATAATAATAACAACAATAATAATATTTTTAACATAGTAAAAACTAAAAGCGGTAAGTATTTGTTGATTAATCTTTTAATTACCATATAACTTTTAGATAAAGTTTACCATGTCAATGTAAAAAAAGATAACTAAATTTTTAGATAAAGTTTATGGACTAATTTTCATTGCAAAGTACTAATATCTAATTAAGTAAACATATAATAAGAGGAAATATTACTCTTAAATATTTCCAAATATTTATTTATTAAAATGACATTTTGAGGGGAAAAAAAACCTAGCCCACATTAATCATACTGGTGATAGAAAAGACATTTTAAGGTTTCTATAGAAGAAAGGGAAAAAAAAAGTGAGATTAGAAGTTAGAACTATAGAATAAAGGATGAAGAGTTTCCTAATGTAATTAACAAATTAACAAATCCAGATGTAATTTTTTGTGGTTCATAACAAATCCAAATATAAAATTTTAGGTTTAAATATTATTTTGTTCTTTATAGTTTTGACTTTCATTCATTTTGATCGTAGTTTCAAAATATTTATTTTGATCTATGTACCTTAAACTTTTATTTATTTTAGTCTCTATACTTTCAAAACATATGTTTACATTCCCGTTTTGTTTGTCTAGTCAGACAAAGAGATAGCTTAGCTGTTAAAGCAAAGACTCTACAAGTGCATTAATCAAGAGTTCCAAGATGGCAGGGCAGTTGTGCCCGTATCAAAGGCAGAAAAGAAGGGGTTGAAGTCGAACTCCTTAGGACTCAATAGTGTAGTCTTTGTGGACACCTGATTGAGGGGAGTTCAACCGATTTTGAAATACGGCTTGGGAATTTTTCGTCCTTATACTTTTAAAAAGTGACCAATTTGATCCTTTTAAAATTTTAACACAAATTTTATGTATATTTAAATTTCTTTAATACAAATTTATGGCTATTTAGTGACTAAATAAGTGTCATGCTAAAATTTTAACTATAATAAATGACATAAAAATAAAAATGAGCGGACTAAAATTGTATCTTTTTAATGATAAACGAAACCATTTAGAACAATTTTTTAATACTGGGGGACCAAACTATCTCTTTTGAAACTCCAATGACCAAAAATGTATTTTACCATAAAATATAATTCGTTGTCCAACGAAATTATAATTAAAAGTTTTAGGCTAAATTATTTAATATTTCCTTAAATTTTTAGATTAGTTTTAGTTATACCGTATAGTTAAAATTGCTTAACCTTTAAAATTGATTCAAATATTCCCCTTAACAATTTTGTCATTAAAATAAGTGATGGATACATGTAGGGCTACAAACTTGTAAATAGAATAGTGGCAGACATAGCTTTTGAAAAATGAACGAAAAACGAAGTACTGTTAACCACTAGGCAATCACTAAGGTGAAAAATAAGTTAGCAAATGAACAGTCAACGTAACTTGAAAAGTAATTGCTTAGTTGTTTAGAAAAGTCAATCCGAACATAGCTCAATTAGATGATACACATCTTACTTTCACTAAAGTAGATGGTTTGATCTTTCACCCCTACAATTATTAAACTCAAACAATAGAAAATAATTACCTAATGGTTATTCGTATTTGTCATGTGCTTTTCTTCACTTGTTTTCCCAATAGCATATTAAACTTTTTAAACGGTGGAAGTACAATTAAAACTAGCCTCAAAATTTACTTGAAAACTCAACCTGTCATAATATGATCGCATAATAACATCATAACTTTTACATCGTGGTATATCAACTAGTTAACAAAATGCAAACGATTTTCTAGTTTTATTTAAGAGGATATCAACTTTTCATTTCAAACTATATATATATATATATAATTTGAATCATAAATCATTATTATGAACAACCACAAATAAAAACTACTATCAATAATATATTAACCACATGAAAAATTGAGTTAAATTGAAAGAGAAATTCTAGCTCAATATGGTGTTGTTTGTTTACACATGGATATGGTTCGAGTGGAAATGTACATTGTTGAAGCTCAAAGAGAAAAGTGTCAGATTGAGCAAAAATGAGTTCTCCAACTTTGAATCATTGGAGTAGAATCAAAACTTCTATTGGAAAAATTTTCTTTCTCTATCATCCTATACTAAATACCTGTCCATGGGAACGACACTTTCTAGGTGATTCTCAGGGTCTTCATTAATCGCTTTTGTGTGTTGTTGAACAACCAAGATTAAGGTATTGCCCATGAAATCTGAAGAGGCCAATACCTCTCCAATTGCTCCAAGTTCGGTATCCTCATTCCAAAGCACCAACCCTTGAACTAGCGGTGAACTCGGACAATGGCGTCTTCCTACCACTACAAGGTCGAAATTGTTCCCCATCGAACGAAGTATGGAGACTGTTCCAGTGCCATCCATAACCACCTCTTCTATGTACGATACTTTGCAGTTGCCTACTATGATTTGTCGAAACTTGCTCACTGCCTCATTATCGAGCCTCCTCTCTTCTACATTATAGCACGGGACATTCCCATTTTCCAATAATCGGATCATTGTCAAGTTGATATTGGGGTGCCCAGCCATTCTTGCCCCGATGAACATTGCCTCTCGATCATCTGGTCCACCTATGAACACCACGACTATATGAAAAGGATGTAAGGTGTTTGTGATAGAGCTTGAGACTTCTAAGAGCCCACGGTCGACAACAAGGGCGATAGAGCAGGGTGCTTTGTCTACGATGTGATTGTTAACAGCCCTCGTATTATTTTTGCACAATGACAACACACCATTGGAATGAAATCTCTTGTGGAAAGGAACAAGAACCAAAGAAGTCTCTTTGTCGAATGCAAGCGAACAAACGTCATGGTGCATAGTTGCAAAACAAGATATAACAGTGAAGGGATAAATTTCAACTATGTCACGGTTGCTCTGTCCAAAGTATTTGAAGGCATTAACGATAGGCTCAGAAGGGCAAGACCTTGAAGTACCTACCTTCGTATGTTTGTGGGCAATGAGTTGTGGGTTAGCACGGCCAAGAAGCTCAACAAGATGAAGTATGTAGACAACAAGATGGCTTTGTCTTGTTGGATTCAAGGCCTCAAGAATTTTAATGGCATTTGGAACATCGTCTTGGTCGTGAATGCAAACTAATAAATGGAGATCAGAGTTCAGTCTCGAGTGCATCATTGTTCTTCTATCGTAAACTGCATACCTTCTCAAAGGATCATCGAGATATCTCATTATGGAAGTGATAGATATAACCAAAATCACCATGCATAGGCACATAACTGAAAATGTTTCATTATCAAACATCTACACAGATTTAGAGAACAAAATGTCAGTGAGTATATGGTAAGAAATTATCAAATGCAATTAGATGATAATGATGATCAACAACTTATTCCTACCTTGTCCTTCTTCTTCGAATAAAACAAACCAAGCTCCATAGCTCCTTGACTATTCATGATGAGGCCGAGCAATACGGCATCTCTCACACGCAGTTTGAAGTAGATTGAAATCATAAAGGCGCCAAAAAACTTTCCCAATGCAACAACAACGATAGCGAACGATAGGACTAAAAAATGTTTGAGTTTAATGATAAAGATGTTGATAAACCAGCCTATTTTGACAAAGAAGATTGGCATGAAAATCCATGAGGTGATGAAATGAAGCCTCTCTACCAATGTTGATCCAATAGGAGGCCCTGGAGGTATTGCAACCCCAAGTGCAAGGGGACCAAAATGTAAATATAAACCAGTGGCCTGGCAAAAGAAGCCAGTCACCAACGCCCCTAAAAGCAAGGTAATCACATAGCCCTCTTTTAACGGCTGCCCGATCGGATTCTGCTTCATCATCCAAAGAATGGCAGGCCGAAGCACATAAATGATGATGACTATCAGAATCACAGAAGGAAAAATTGTTGAGAAGACCTCATATCTGTCAACATTTAGTTTCAAGAGAACTCCTAGAACCATAATGCAATAGCTGCACAAAGCAGAAGCCATGGAAGATGTCAAAGCGATTCTCCCAAGCTCAGAGTTCATTCTATGAAGCTCAGAAAGAAAGTAAGCAATCGTGGGGAAGTTGATAAAGGACTCTGTTGCACCAACATAGATAAAGGTTTTTCTGATTTGGGAGTTCACATTATTCGTCCCGTTTATAGTGTAACTGCAAATGATGGTAAGAACCAGAGGTAAAACCACAGTACCGAAACCAATAGCAAATGCCTTCTTGTCAATCTTCTTTACTATCGAAGGATCTATTTGCACCCCAATGAGGAAGAAGTAAAACATGTATCCCACTGAACCTACTATATCAAGGAATATGAATCCCCTCATAGGGAAAAAGGTTTCTCTGAATCCCTCGAACTGGCCCAGAACCGAAGCTCCTAGAACTAAGCCTCCCTGATAAAATCAAATTCAATAAGAAAAGATGACAGGAATAGAAATCACTGGAAGCAATCAAAAGAGAGAGATAGAAAGAGTTACCAAGATTTGAGAGACGATGAGGAGTTGGCCGAGGGGTTTGAGGAGCTTAGAAAACATCATAATGGCCCCTCCAGAAATAACCAACTGCAATAAAAGAAAAGGCACAGAGTACTCAAAAGGGTTTGATCCGATGAAAACTCCATGGGAGCGAATTCGGTCAGCAGATATGCATCCCATGGTCAAGTTCTGGAGCGACTGTCCTAATCCACCATTGGCGTAGGCAGCAATTTCGTCTGGTTCCATTACAACAAAAACTCAGTTTTCGAATCTGGGTAATGGGTAGTGAGTGAAGACCGGAAAGATCCTTCTTCAAACACAGAAGAAATCAAAAGGGGCTATGGAGAAACGGAAGAAAAATGGAATGTAACCCACTTTCAGAACCCAGACACAGAAGAAATCGAAAGGGTCAAATAGAGAAATGGAATGGAAAGAGCTGAATGGAAAGGGAAGATTGGGAATGGATTGGAAATGGGAATTGGGGATTGTTTTCTTTTAAACCTTTTTGTAAATACTAATTGAGTGATTATGCTCAACTTGGAAGATGAACGGAAATCAATTCAAATTTGGAAGAAACTCAGCTTGTATTGTATTGTGATTTGGCCTACAACTAAACCCTCCAATTTTCAATATTAGATGCTCCAGCTTTATTTTAAAATGTTGTGAGTTCTCAATCATTTGTTAATAATTTATGTTGTATTTATTTTTTTAGAAAATTYTAGCATTTGACAACAAAAATACAACCAACAATAAATGGATAGAGATTTTAGGGCATTATGTTTTTTTTTTTTTCTTTTAAGAAAATTTTAGCATTTTAGTATTTGACAACTAAAAATCCAACCGAAATTTTAAGAGCACTAGTTGCTGCCAGTTGCACAAGCAGGAAGTATTTTCAATTCAATTTAATTTTATAATAACATAAATAAATGAGAAAAAATCAATATCGCTAATAGTAAAAAATAATGATAAACAAAAAAGAAAATTAAGATATATACATTGCAAACTTTCTCAAAATATGTATACTTCTTACTTGATAATTGAAAGATAAACACCTAACTTCAAAATCGAACGATAACATCTCAAGCCTATAATTTATCATAAGGATTCTCACATCTCATACTATCTTAATATATCACACAATAATTTGAGCTGCTTTTGAGATTTAGGAGACTCGAGAAGTGACAAAAATGAGCCAATAAAAGTAGAGGAAATAAAATAAAGTTAGTATTGCCAGTAGAAAGATGGGGAATTTCTTTTTATAATAAGAAAATGAAAGATGTGTATTCCAATCCTATAATTAAAAATGGTTAAATACAAATCTTTATATTTTTAGAAATTAAAAGGTAGAAATTTTCATATTCAAACTTTTAGTTAAATCCATACTATTTAAAGCAATAAATAAGTGAAAAGTAAATATGTATTTGTATGTCTATATATTTGAGATTTTAAGACAATTGATATTTAAGATAAATTACAATATAATTAAAGATAATAATTATTGGATTAATTTAGGTGGGTAAACTTTCTCTATTCTAACTTTTTAAATCACTCTTTATGACTCAAAATTAAATATATAAGTTATTAATAGTAATTAATTATACCTTATGTGTTTTGTGAATTTAAAATTTTACCATAGATAAAATAGTTCAAAACTATATTTTTTTAAATATTATAGCTTTTCTGTATAGTAGTTTATTAATAGGTGCATGCACATTCTATTTTAACTTTATTTTATATTATAATATATATATATATATATATATATATGTTTTTGAGATAATATTATAACAATAAAATTAATATATGCTTTAATTTTATAAAAAGTTCATACAGTTTATATATTACAAATGGATAAATTTATATTATTATTTATAATTAGTATAGTTATAAAAATATATGATTCCAAATAATAATAATTATTATTAATAATAAATGTTTAAAATGAAACTCTTCTTTTTTCTTTTTTACCTCTCATAATTTTTAATATATTAATTAAAAATGATTAAGTATTTTAATATTTTTTATTTTGAAAATATTATTTTACTTAATTTTTTTAAAAGAAAATATTTTGTTTGTTTATTAAAATTTCTAAAAAAAATAAACATTTTTTAATTTGAGATAAAATTATTTTACTAATTTAATCATCTTACTCTGTAGGTATATGTCAAACCGAGCATAACTCAAATGGTTAAGRCACCTATCTAATTGTATTGGTAACAAAAATATTTAGTATATTTCAAAATATGTCAYCCTTCTCGTAAATTTTCAAATATAGCAAAAATATTAGAATTCTAATTTTGGAATATTTCATTATTCCGACTTTACCCTTTTCCAGATCTCGCGCATAAATTTATTGGCTGGGTTTGGGATTGGGATTGTTGGCAGCTTTTTGATTCTCTTCCTTGGCAGCTTCAGGTACACTAAGATTCCTTCTTCACAGCTACAGTTCACGTTTTAATCTTCTTCAAATTCGTTCACTTCAGCCTCAGCTTCAGTCGAGTTCGTTCACTTTTTCTACTTCTCCAGTTTCCTCCTCCTTCAAATCTCTTCACTTTGCGTTGGGGTAAGGATAGAGTTATCAATAAACATCAACAAATTTTTAAAAAAATATCGCCTTGGATATCAACATCAACAAATTTCTGGTATAATTTTTACCAGAATTTTGACATGATTAAATTGATAGAAGAACTGACAGAAATTCCAAATGTTGTTGAAATGAATGAATATAAAGATGTTGCTTGGTTTTTTACTTTGGTTAAGGATGAAAAGAAAAGATATTCTTTATTGCTCATGCAATTATATTGTTGAGTTTTATGTCATAAACTCATGGTTTGTAAATGTAAAACAATATATTGGTTCAATAAAGTTATTTTTGAAGTTTTAGAATTGCATTGACCAAAATCCAATAAACTAACATCCGAGGTTAATTAATGTAACTAAAACAATATATAATTGATATAAATGGTATATAATTGATATACACGGTATACAGTAGATATACAATCGGATCATGTTCCAATAATAATCTAAATGATTATAGTAACCTACTCAAGAAATCCGAGACCTGTTGTAGGAGCGAAGCCGCTTTACCGAGTCGCGAACTTTTTGATCAATTAGGTGCGGGAAGTGTGGATAAAATTGAGTACCTCATCCTAGTGACACTATGGATACAGCCCACTTTGTAAAAGTTACAAATGACTTGATCTAAATCATTCATGTAGAGACACCGTTAACTAATTAGATTAATATTTCAAACCACGAAAGTATTAATCTTTAATTGTAACACCGTTAACTAATTAGATTAATATTTCACAGGATGACCATGTAACTCAATCTCAATTCTGAGTGAATTATGGACTCCTGCTTATGAGGAATTGTCTTTTAATTTGCATGGGTGGCTCAAGACATCGACTTGATATGCCTAATTTTGTGGACGAGTCCGAGTGGGAACATAACCTCGCGAGATGGAATTCATTCATTCGTAGCTTTAGGGGAGTAGATGAGTTGTCCCCTTAAGTGCTAACTTCGGGTCTTGAAGAAGGGACCCACCCTCTCACTGGCCCGAGAGGGACTTTGTTTTATGGTACGAAGAGTGCAGTTGTGAGTCTTTCGTTTGGAGTGAACCACAGTTAACAAATGTTGATTAATTTAATTAATGAGTTTAATAAATTAATCTCGTGTCATTTGAACTTCTAATCTATAGGTCTGTTAGATCCTCTTGCTAGCTCACAACGGGTAAACCGATTATCAAGAATTTGAAAAAATTTGGAAATAAGGGAATGCGTATATAACGTATACACCATTTATATAATGAATATATTGATATGTTATACAATTAATTTTGAATAAGGATTCGAAATTAATACTATATTATTATGAGAGAATTAATTGAATCTCATTATTTGAATAAGATTCAAATAAAATTTAATATGAATTGGATTCATATTAAAATTATAGGTTAAAATTGATGTGGATGAGATATACATTAAAACTATAGGTTATAAGAGAGAAGTGCATTCGAATAAAGTTCTAATTAAATATCATATATTTAATTAAAACAAAAACATAATTAATTAGTTAAATAATTCAATTATGTTTATTATTTAGTTTAATTAAATTTATTTTTAATTAACTAAATAACTCACTCCTTACCTAAGTGGGATTATGGTGAAATTTGGAGTGAACTTGCTCCCCACCCCTCACTCTTCTATAAATGCAAAGAGTTTGTAGTATGGAAGTTTTGATGCATTTTGGAAGAACTCTATCAAATTAGCTTCTCTCACAACCTCTCTAAAAAAATTATCTGTTTCAAAGACAGTTCCCACAAACCAGTTCTCGTCTAGAGAATAGCGAGGAAAACTTTTTGGTGGCGTTAGTGCTATTGTTGAAGAACAATCTTCAAAGGTAGGTTCTCCTTCTTTGTGTTGTTAATTTCTTTTCTTTGTGGTTTTTCCTAAAACAAAATCAAAGCATAAGCGTTCACGCGCTTCCACTGCGGAATTCGATATCCCATCAAATATGTCTTTGAAGGATTCATCTAGTGCTATTAATGATGGGATATGAATCCCACAGCGGAAGCAATGATCGTCGTATATCAATTTTGAGAAACAAAATTCATACCATGAAATGGAAATACAGAGCAAAAATTTGTTTACCTTTGAAGAACTTTTCTTCAACGAAAACACTAACGAACACCACCAAATGGTCTTTCGTGCTATCCTCTGGGTACCGAGATCATGCKTGTGGGAGCGTTGATTTAGAACGTAAGGGAGAGTTGAGAAACAGTACTTGAAAGAGAAAAATTGCTGGGAGTTTTTTTTTCTTCTGCTTAGTTGTTCTGTTTTTGCATAACTGTTCTACAATAAACAAAAACAAAACCAGTGACGTGGGGAGTTACCCCACGTCACTTAACTCCCAGTCCTCTGCCTTTTTGTAGGGGAGTTATATATTAGAT